GACGCATTTAAGATTAAGGAAATATACAAGCAATAGTAAACATCAAAGTTTAGAACTCTTCAATATTTTGAAAAATAATTTTAAAAGTATTTTGAAAAGATCTCATCAAAAATGTGTGGTGCCATGTTTAGATGAAAAAAGATAGCACTAACTCTGAAATGAAACATAAACTGGGTAAGCTATTGGTCCCAGGTTGATTTATGAATAGATACAATAGGTCCTTCCTAATAGTTGAGAAATTGACTTCCGAAGAAGTGAGTTCATCTGACCCAGTTTTTATGAAAAAGGTGGAAGTGTAGTGAAAGCAATAAGGCACAGATGCCTAGCACTAGGGTAGACAGTAGAATAGAGTACATAATTTGCATTTGCAGTCTAGTTTAGTAATAAAAACCCAAACCAAACCTGTTGATTTGGCCCACAGCAACCTAAATATAACTGGAAAGTAATGGCTCAGCATATACTTGGTGTTTGACTGCATTAAATATTGACTTTTAAGTGCTTAAGAATTTTAAAAGGGGGGAAGTAAGCCAATTCTGCAGATCATACCTGAGCTTTCAGGCCAAATATATATATATATAGATTGCATGCAAGCACTTAGAGATCAGTGATAAATAAGATCTGGTGACAACCAGTGTCCTATATTGAATGATGGGATTGGAGCAAATGTAGAGAAATGGGATGCTTTTAGGGATTGAATTCTGTCTCTCCAAAGTGCATGCTGGAAAATGGAATCTCTAGAACCTGTTGGCTGGGGAGAAAGATGAGGCTATTTACTTCCATAAAAGATTTACAGTCTTGGAAAACCTATCTAGGGTTGCTGAGTCACAATCGACGCCAGGGCAGTGAGTGGGGTTGTTGTCCCTGTCGTTGTAATTCCACCTGGGAATGAGTTGTCTGTTATGGTAATGCAATAGTATTAATGTAGGATTTCTGGTGGCAAAGTGGTTATGTTTCGGGCTGATAACTGCCAGGTCAGAAGTTTGAAACCACCAGCCACTCTGAGGGAGAAAGACAGGACTTTCTACTCTCATAAAGAGTTACAGCTTCGGAAACTCACAGGGCCAGCCCTGTCCTGTCCAATAGGGTAGATATGAGTTGGTATAAACTATAAGCAGTAAGTTTGTTTTATTGGAGTGTAGGAAGGAGTCCTGATGGCTGAGTTCTTCGCAGTTAACTGAAAAGGAGAACGATGATGTAGCAGTCAGCTTCTCTAAGAAATAAACCAAAACCAATGGAATCCGTTGCTGTGGAGTAAATTCTGACTCATAGTAACCCGAGGTCAGGGCAAAACTTCTCCATACGGTTTCTAGTAATAGGAGTGACCAGGGGTATACTTCATACTCACTTCAGAAGTTTTCATAGCTTAGTTTACCAAGTCAGCGATAATCAAACTCTTGATTAAATAGTAGTCCTGAGAACTCCTTCTTTACACTACCTCTTATCCAGTGTACCACCTGAGATATTTTGGACTAGTTCATCATCAGAATCACCAACCTAAAGAGTGGTTGTTTTATATGAGCAATATCCAAGGAACTTGCTAGAAATGTATGTCTTGAGACCCCATCTGAAGCAGGCCAGAAAGCTAAGCAATCTAAGGTCTTTTGATGAGCCTCCAATGACTTTTTTGTTTGCCTGGGTTTGAGAACCACTGCAGCAGAAAATTCAAATAGTATACTATTTGAGAAGATATACAATATATAAAAAGATCCAGAAAAAAATAATAGTTGACAAAGCCAACTCAATGCTATTTATTGGGAGGGTGGGTGGGTGGGTAACAGGTGTAGGTGTTGAATTACTAAAGTCTGTGCTAGTCTAGAAAGTAGGTTAGAAACCCAAAAAGAGCAGAATGAAGTCATTTTGTAATACTAAATAGTGAGGTGCTACATAGGGTGTTACCTTTAATGTATTTTCTTCTAGAAGAGACTGACAAATTAGTCACTTCACCTACTGCCCAATGAATGAATCCCAAGTCAAGCATTCACTAAATATCGTATAGCCTAGCAGTCCTGTAGTGTGTCAGCATGTCTTGGTTGTTTAGGGCTATTATAGAAAATGGGCGGCTTTAATAAACAAAATTAGTTTTCTCACAGTTTAGAAGTTTTGAAATCAGTGATGGCTGAAAGGGAAGACTATCTTTGTTGGCTCTGAGAGGTTGCTGTCTTTCGGCTTCAATTCCTTGGTTCCGTGGTGATCTTCATGTGGTGCAGTATCTGTCTTCCCCATCTTTGCTTGTTTACTCTTTTATATTTCAAAAGAAATGGACTTGGGACACTGTACACTAATCAAATCCCTGGCAAACCCATTGCCAGTCATGTTGATTCCAACCCATAGTGACCTTGTAGGACACACTGCTCGATAACTTCCAAACTGTAATCTTTACCAGCTGGAGAGAGAGGTGGCAGTCACCCTCCATACACATCTACAACAATGTTTTTCAAAGTGGGCGATCCTGCTTACTGGGGCACCGGAATGATCCAGGGAGGCTGCACAAGCAGGTATCTTCACTTCTTCACTTTACCTTGGATTATAGGCTGTAGTACAAAAGATTTTAATTGCCAGGGAAGCACTGAGGTTTTTTGTTTTGTTTTTTTTTTCTTTCCTGAAGAGACCAAATAAGTTTAGGAATATATGCAGCAAGGGTTGGGAACATCTGGCATAAGGCCTATGAAATCGTCAATACCAGTGATCATCTCACACCTCGCCTATCATCTCACACCTCACCAGAGACACCGACGAAGCCATCACATTCTAACTCCCTGCCATCAAGTTGAAGCAGACTCAGTGACTCGACAGGACCAGGTACAACTCCAGTGAGTTTCAGAGACTGTAGCTCTTTACAGGAATCGAAAGCCTCCCCTTTCTCCTGAAGAGTGGCTGATGGTTTTGAATTGCCAATATTAATTGGTTAGCAGCCCAGTCATTACCACTACACCAACAGGGCTCCTTTAGCCATCACATGAGGGGTGAGCTAATTTTTCAGTTGATAATTTTGTATGGCCAGCAACCGATGTTATAAATATCGAAATGGCCTTTGGCTCCCCACCTCCTTGCCCCACCATGGCACATATATTTTCTCTTTTCCGAGGCCTATATTACAGACCCACCCCCATCTACATTGTGATCCTATGTTAGTCTGATCAACCTTATGAAAAAAAAAAGTATCCTGAAAATCAGTGTCCAGTGGTATTCCATGTGGAATCTCTCCCGGGCAAAACTAAAAGAATCTGAAGGGGTAAATTACTAATAGTATTAGTTTTCTAGGGCTGTCTAAGGTACCACAAACCGGATGGCTTAAAACAACACATTTATTCTTCTATAGTTCTACAGGTTAGAAGTCTGCAGTGAAAACACCCACAGGCCTATTCGTTCTCTCCTAGCTTCTGATAGCTGCCAATCTTTGACATTATTGGCTTGTAGATCAATCACTCCAATCTGTCTCCATGGTCACATGGTCTGCGTTTTGTGCCTAAATTTTGCTTTTAGAAGGACAGCAGTCATATTCGATTTAGAGCTCATTGTGATCTCATTTTAAATTGATTCTATGTGAAAAGACTATTTCCAATTAAGGCTACATTCACAAATTCTGGTGAATATGAATTCTCTGGGCACACTAACCTAGTAACCAATAGTGTTATCTCAAACAATGGGACTGAGTCCATCCCATTGACGAACACATCCAAAAGTTTATATGTATTGTTGTACAAAACACAAAACCAGCTTTCACTTTGGCTATAGAAGTGTCTGGTGTTAGTTGGTAATTTTTGAAATGGCATCTCTTGCACTTCAGGCTCTCCCTAACATTTGCTTTGTTGAAGGTGCTCTGTCATTCATAAGTGCACTGGGCCCAGCAGCTTCTGCACAAGTGTGAGGGGGAAAAAACAGGACGAGTGTTGGCAGTGGCAACTTTCCATGCCCCTGGATCCTCAGGAACCCTGCCTGGGCCCAGGCAAGAATGTGTGTGTGTGTGTGTGTGTTTGTTACAAACAACATGAAATATTTAGTGGTAGAAATGTGACCTCACAACCCCATTAATTTCTATCAAAGTTCCTGCTTGTCCCATGCAGTCTTCTGTAATTACTTCATTTTCTTCTCTTAGGTTCCAGCAGGTAGCAGGTTTGTTCAAGTTTTCAATACTTTTGTGATTTATATCACGTAACAAAAATGAATGAAGCCTTAAGGGTAAATAAAGCCTGGCCCTTGGCAGCTCCAGAGGTCCCCGTTGTGTCACAGCTAAAGCCGCTTCAACGGTCAGGAAGCAGGGAACTGGCTCCTTGGCACCTTCCCTTCCTTTTCTCCTTCCTTCCTTTGTACTTCTTGTCCCTCTCATCTCTCCTGCTTTCAAGGCTCGGACAGGCCGCGCGCGCTCAGGTATTCATTCGCGGTGCCACCTCCTCCGGCGAGCCCCG